TCCTTAAAAGTATAGAAATACAAGCACACACACACATATAACACACTGATACTTACTTAATCAAAGCCCATATATTCTGCACTGTATAAGATACACACTAAAGAAACAAACAGTAATTTACTTGAGATGAAGATTTAATTGAATCTACTATGTGGGAGATAGAAACACAGAATTGTATAAAATTAACGTTTTGTCTGTTGCTTTTCTAAGTCTGTTTCTTTTTTATTTTTAAGTGGAGTTTTATATGTGTTATAGAGGCCATTTTGCTCATTTAACATATCGACAAACCCTATAGGGGGATCCAGTTGTTATTTTGTACCCAGTTAAAGTGATTGTGGATATTTAATTCTGTGAAGAGGCCAGCTGACTGTTCCCTCTCTTCCTCCATCGCCAACCGTCTTTCTGTCATAAAGAAAAGCTTGTTTCTACACTACAGCATCAACAATCCATTAAGATACACATTTTGACATATTAAAGAAAGTTGCTATTGTAAAGTCTTAAGAATAAGCTTTTTGGTGGATTTTGTCTTTGTTTTGTCATACAGTAAAACTATTGGTTGTCTGGGACATAAGACAATGTTCCATGTTTCATACAAAGAACTAAAATACTTTTTTGTTTCCTAGTATTCCTTCCCATCTTTCTTTCCACTTTGTATGTGTTGATATGACTGAAATGATGTTTTATTTTTCATATTTCTCTTATCTGCATTTCACTGCAAAGTCTTGCCAGGTTGCAAAGCTGCTATGGGACAGCGATGGGAGAGAAGAAACTTGTGTACATTTAAACAAAAGAGTGGAGAAAACAGCTGATGTATTTGTAATTTGTACATGAATAAATAGCTTTTTCTATGAATTCATATTACAGTGTCCATTAAACCCCTTGGTAATAAACCACATATTGTAATATTTACATTGGCTGACCAGTGAGTTTTTACTGTTTATTCACTATGCTCAAAATTGGCTAAGAAGGCAGAAACACCAATAAGTTTTGAGGGCAGTCTGATTAATGTTCACAACCTGAGCATGGAATAAACAGGAGATTTAAAATGTTGATTAGATTAGATTATTTGTTTGTGGAGATAAATTAGGGAAATGAAACTCAAATACATGAAGAATAGTTTTGCAGTGAAGTTGTGCCAACCTGAATTAATGGTGAGGTACCTCAAGAATCTCAGACCACAACACTATCCACAAGAAAGCATTTCCTTGGGACATGACCCTGTTTTCTTTAGTGGCAGCCACAGCCATGGCATCAAATGGTAGCATTCTCCTCAAAATGTCACTTATGTGTTATGTATAACCTTTACAAAACCTTGGAAGGGGCCAGTGTGGCTTCATTGTGCCCAGTGTTTGTTTTCATTGTCAGTGGCTTTTAGTTAGGCTGAAGTACAGACTCAAATACGCATCAACTCAAGTTCACACTGAGGAACATTCCTGGAAAGGCAAGTCAATGTGGCGACGGAAATATGGGGAAAATGGGAAAAAGACCAACATGCCACCTGGGAAACTGCTTCCCAGGAAATACATTCTCAAGACCCTTTGCTCAGAGAATTGAAGACACAGATTAGTTTTGTTACTGATACAAGAAGACAGGACAATGAAAATGACTAAAATCAACAAAGGGAATAAAAGTACTACTTGTCTAAAAAGGTCTTAATACACTGTTTAAAACCATAAGAAACCTAAACCTTAGAGCTAATATTGTCAACCAACATAAACTAAACAAAACTGAGGAAAGTGAGCACTTTTGATATGTACTAACCACTGCACTTGGACAAAGCAGTTTTGGAGATGCTCTGACCCAGCTGTCTAGCCATGATAATTTGGTCCTTGTCAAAGTCGCTCAAATCCTCATGCTGCCCATTTTCCTGCTTCTAACACATCAACTTTGAGGACATAATGTTCACTTGCTTCTAATATATCCCACCCACTGTCAGGTGCACAGACCAAATGAAACTGTAACTGCTTCACTTCCACAACAGTGGAACATTTCACACGGTAAGATTGAAAATAGATAGATTGATACTACTTATTACTAACAAAGTAGGCTAGCCTCATAAGATTACCAACCCAACCTGTAGGCGTTGACACCGCATCATTTGTAGATCTAATATTTGATTTGGCATAGGCTTTTTACGCCGGATCCCCTTCCTAATGCAGTAATGTTAAAGGTACCCTAAAAATCTAGCAGTTTAATTTGGATTCAGTGGGACTTAGTGGGTACAGTGTGATCCTACAGAGGAAATGTGTAACAAAAAGGGTCATGCATCCATAGAAACTTCTCAAACCACTTTGTAAGTCCAACGATTTTCTCCACTTGTATGCTCTGTGTTTCGAAATAATGATATGTACACATTAAAACGTAGTTGAGACATCTCAGTAATAATAAAAAATGTCTATCTGCTAATGCCACTAGAAAAGGTTTAACACCACTTAAGTCAGTAAGATATACTGTATGGGTTGTACAAAAGTCTGTACAAAATATTGTACTAATCCACCTAGTAGATGTTGAGACACTTTACTGGATAACCTGCCAGTGGCGTTAGATATAGAGTCAGAGGTTTATCAAAGTCAGTAGGATCCATCTTCAGTGAACTATGAATGTCCGTAAAACAATTTAGGGCAAACCATTCAATAGATGTTGATATAAATTGGTCAAGTCAAGTGGGACCAACAATATTGCCCTCCCTAGAGTCACAACACAAAGTCCATTTAGTAGCTGTTCGTACCTATACTCAGTGTTATAGAAGGCCTCCATATCCTATTAGCATATTGAAACTCTATATATTGTTATATATGATTGATCAACAGTTGAATAAGTTGCAGAAGAATGTGTTCATTGTCCATTTGGATTAGATTCTGTCTGTCTATCTGGCTCAGTCTCCTCCCCTCTGTCTCTATCTGTAGCAAGGCTGCTCACTGATATTTGCAGAGCTGTCCTGCACACCAATCTTTGTTTCCAGTAAACTCAGGATCTATTTATAGACTGTGTGTGAGTGAAAAAGAGAGAGACAGTGTTTGTGTTAGTTAGTTATTGGAGAGAGAGTTAATCTGCAACACTTAAAGTAAATTTTTGTCTATCATTGGCTATCCCGACGAGTACTGATAATACAGGATTATGGTAGAGGTCACCTGGCAATAATGTTTTCTGGATCACAGTAAGGTAAGTGCATTTTTTAAGAATGGTGTGTGTCTGGGAAGAACAGAACTTTAAACTGAAAAACTCACATACACCAATCAGCCATAACTTTATGACTGTGGCTACCCTGTCTCCAGTTCACTGCTTTTCCTTCCTTGGACCACTTTTTTTTTTTTTTTTAAAGAAAAAGGTATTTTAGGGGACTTTTATTGCCTTTATGATAGTGACAGCTGAAGATAGACAGGAAAGGGGGGCAGAGAGAGGGGATGACACGCAGCAAAGGGTCGCAGGTCAGATTCGAACCCTGGGTACCCGCAACCGGCACTCAGTCTCGGTACAATGGTGTCCCGCCCAGCTCTACCCACTGAGCTTAACAGGCACTGCCCCTTCGGGAAAACACTTTTTGATAGGTCTGCACTACTGCAGACTGGGAACCACCCCAACAAGAGCCTTGCAGTTCCTAGAGATGCTCTGACCCAGTCCCTCTAGCCATCCACAATTTGGTCCTTGTCAAAGTCGCTTAAATCCCCTCATGCTGCCCCAGTTTTTCCTGCCTTCCTCCACACATTATACTTTGAGGAACAAAATGTTCTACTTGCTGCCTAAATATATCCCACCCACAGACCTGTGCCATGGGGGGGAAAATTTTGACCAGAAAATCAAAGTGGTGATTCACCTTAACCTTGTCAGTGGTCATAATGTTATGGCTGATCAGTGTATATTTCAGTTATGAATCAAAACAGGTATATGATTGGAGGTCATCTTCATATTATGATTTATTATATTAACACATTTGCCACAATCTTTGTACAAAGTAGGGAATACTGGGGCGGCCTGTGGCTCAGAGGCAGAGCGGGTTGTCTCCCAATCGGAAGGTTGTTTGGTTTGGATCCGGTTCCTCCTACCATGTGTCGAGGTATCCTTGAGCAAATACTGAACCCCCAAATTGCTCCCCGATGCACAGCCATCGGGTATGTGGATGTGTATGAATGAGTTAGTTTCTGTTCGATGGACTTTGCCATCACTGAGTGAATGTGTGTGAAATGGTGAATGTGGCCAAGTAGTGTAAAAAAATGCTTTGAGTGGCAGAAGCCTAGAAAAAGGGCAC